ATCTGAGTCTGCTTGACTGTTTAAGTAAATAAGTTTTCTTCCAACGTATTGTAAACTTGTAAATACCGGATAGCTAATATCAGAATCCACCTCCTGCACCAACCTCAATATATAAAATTGGAATTGTGCAAAGATAACTTTCTTTAGAAAGTTGCCATTTTCTTCCTGTCACTTTCTATTCTTTGGGGCTGATAAAATGACAGTTCAGACTTAACTTTTATGTAAGCTATTTTTAGGTACTTTTCCTAGACATTCTTTAACTATTTCTATTACACAGAACACATACTCTAGGGATCACTTTATCCTTTAATGGGGTTATTAAGCAATCATTGCTGTACAATCCTAGGTCACTATTAGAAGTCACACTTCAGATTCAGAAGCCCATGAAGAGTGGTAAGTGGTCTTTATTTCAGCAAGAGACTTATCCTGGAAGGTGAGAAATCAGGGTGTTGATTACTAAAAGAAGGATGGTCATTTTGTAAGTTATTCCCTTTAGCTGGGGGTCCACTGCCCACTGGACACTTATTCTCCCTTTGGCATCTCTTCTCTCTACAGCAAAGCTAGCCTAGTACATGTGTGCAGGTTTAATGCTGGAAGGGAGGGTCAGCTCTCCCCATACATAATCACTGTTTTATGGCTTTCACTCATTCCCGAGGTGTTAATGCAGATCAAATGGGAAACACTCGAGAAAGAACCTTAGCCGCTACCACACTGCTGAGCTCTCCCGCTCAATCGTTAATTCTTATTGTAAGATCTAAAGGTAATTTTGTTTGCTCTCTTAATGCGTTGCAGTTTTCCCAGTGGCCCTTGCATATCCTTTCTCAAATTCCCATCTTGATCAATTGTTTGCAAATAATTAAGCTTTTAAGAGATAATGGCATGAGGCTAATGTACACAACAAAGGCAAGGTCTCCTGTCACTGTCTATTGGACTGTGGTCAAATTGGCTTTGATATCCCAAAGTGATTAGCTTGATTGGTGTAACTGGCACCTGCAATCCATCTTTCCTTCACAAGAACCTACCACTCTTTCTTAAACTAGTGTCCTTGCCGTTTAGATGCAAGAATAGTAAAGGTGTTCAGGAGATGGGCAAGGGGTGACCTAGGCCCTTATTGGCAACGGCTTGGAATGAATTTCCCAATTTCTTCTTAAAATGGCACCTCTCTTTATCCCTTCTGTAAAATGACATCAACCTTTGCCCATCTTACGGCCTCACTAGCTCGGTGGGTAGGATGCAACAGAGCCTTGAATGTTTTCCTAGCAGATGCTCCTGTGGCATATTGGGTTTTTGCCAAGTCGTTTGATTTTAAGTCTGAAAAAGAACAACTCATTCTTTCCACCAAAAGCTTATCTAATAAAGATACATAGGATTTAAGATACTGAAATATGCTGATTTCAGTTTACAAACCTCCATCTTTGCAAGTTTTTGGCTAAGATTAGCTACCTGAAATCGTGGCTTTCAAGTGATTATAGCAATTAGAGATTCTTTTTTCAGGGAATTGTTTGTTAGTGTGTGGGACACCAAGGCCAAGAACTATGAGAAAAAGACAAACATTCAGTTGATATTCCATAGACAAGGGTTTAGGAATTTTGTTGATACCTTCCCCCTCCCACTTAACAATGACCAGATTATTGTGACATTTAATTCTGTCCAGGCTCATTCATTTCTATTAAAAAAAATATCCTGAACGACTGAAAATTGTTTAATGGAGACAGAGTGCTGGGTCTCCATAGCTTGAGGCTGCCTAGCAATTATGCTGCATGAAATTAGACACAGTTTGTTCCAATTACTTAAAATCAGATCACATGAAAAGTGACAGAGGGAAAAAAAAGGGCAGAACTTTCTCATTTTATGATATTTAAATTATGAAATCAGAAACTGCAGAATGTGAAGAAACAACCTAAATTTGCACTGAAATTTTGAGGGCCATATGATTTCTCTTTGAAGCTGTAATGATTCAGGTAATTTTAATGACCCAAAAAGAATTTTCCTGACACTGCTTGTATAAATAGAATATGCATTCCATTTGCTTTGTAAGAATGGATGTAAAACTTGCTCACAAACAGGCATGCGAAAATACTCTTGAAAACACAGCACAAATAAATGACTGTGACAATTCTCAATTTTCAAAGTAACGAAAGGGAAATGGCATAAATATTCATTTTTATCCATTTCTGATCATAATATTAACATCCACTAACAAGACAGGGCAAAAGGTGTTGCTGTCCAGCTATAGTGAAGAGAGATTCTAGATGTATTTATTAATTGTACTGAAAATCCCGGAAAGAGATTTCCATAGAACCTGCAAAACTGTAGGCAAATGAGAGAAAATGTTACAGATCAGAAACAATTTCTGTACAGTGGCCCATAACTTTATCTGGCAGTGCCAAAAGCAGGATGCTAAAATTTGTATATTGCAAAATCAAGCTTGTATTCTGTAAACATTCTAGTTTGGGTAACCTTTAACTCCGATGGATCTTAGAATTCTAGATGACAAAATTGAGGATTAGAAAAGTCGTCCCTTGTTCTAAGTCTCATAGTTAGCAAGTGACAGCATGATTTGTACAATCTAATAGGATCATGTATACCTATGTACAATTCTTCAATGAGTGTAGACACAGAGCTACTATATGTCAAACCTTCATTCAGTATTCTGTTTAGTATTGTGTGTGAGTTATGTTTTAAACCTCAGGGTAGTGTACTGCTTTTAGTTTAGTATCCCATCATGAGACTTGCCTATGATGACAGCAGTATGTTGAATCAGGTGATTATCACTTATGATCTTAGCCTATTATTAGGTTTATATATTTTTATTTGAAAAGAGTGGGCCAACCTCACTTTCAGGAATAAGGTAAGAGTGTTGTGGATCTCAAACTGAATTGTTTATAGGTCTGGTGGGCTTTGAAAAAAATTTTATTACACATTGTGATGTTGCATCTGAGTGGAGAGTATCTGTGTTTCCTGGCAAGTCACGGCCATTGCTTTGTTCCACAAACACGTACTGATTTCTATTCCGGCCAGTCTGAGCTTTGAGCATGGTGAATGGGTAAGGCAGGGACTTCAGCGTTGCTAAATGAGTGAGCAGAGGCACATGGAAGGGAAGGCAGAATTAGAACAGGTGTTCGCAGAGCGCGCGCACCTGCTATTAGGGAAGGAGGAGGAGCCGTGTGAGGGCCACGGAGTGGCTGGGGGAGAGTGGGGTGGGGTTCGTGAGGCTGGGCATTAGCTGAGATGCGAACGTGATGTTAGAGCAGGAGCCCGGGTGGTAGGACAAACGTGGCATGCAGGGGGAGCAGAAAGGACTGTGTGGCTGGACAGAGGGGTGCGTGGGGGTGAGTTGAAGGCCACAAAGCCTGCAAGATGGGCAGGGCTGTGGCAGACTTGAATGGACGTTATGAAGGGCGTTAGCCACACCTCAGTCATGGTGAGGCACAGACCCTGGAAGGGAAGCAGGAAATGTCACTGAGGCATGTGGCTACTGACCATGTCTTTCTCTGGCCAGTTTCCTCATCTGTAAAACGGGAGGAACAATAGATTCCATTTATGCCTCTCAAAGGGATATGATAGGGATTAATTACCATCCTGCCTGTAATATACTTGGAGCTCTTTAGAGAAAGACTATATTCCATGAAAGCAAAGCCTTATCCTAATTGTGTATTTATTGATTAAGTGACAATCAAAGCCCATACTTATGGGAAAAGTTGCTACATCTCTGATCTCCATAAACGAATCCCATGTGTATAGGTATAGAACATACTTGAACTTACGTATAAGAGCATAAAAGTGGTCATTAACGAACCTTCTTAGCATCTAATCAGACATTATTGAGATGAAAAGCTATGCTAATTAACATTCAATAGCCCAGAATTTAGTTTCCAGTGGTACAGATAGTTAATTTGAGAGTTAGGGTGCCCTTTCCCATTCATAAAACAACAGAGGGTTGACTGTCAGAACAATTGTTATCCTGGAAGAATTTTGGGGGATGCAGTGTTTCAAACTAGCCCATGTCTCCGTAGAAGGAAACCATGTCCTCTGCTCCTCTACTAAGCTTTAGAAATGTGTTTTTCAGATGTAGATATGGTTGGTTGTTGAATGAAAAGTATTTGTGCCACAACTGATTTCAGTAGAATTCCAAACATTCTTATAGGAAGGTATGAATTTCTTTGTATTATCTAATCCTGCAATAATTTTTATCCACTCTAGCTCAGAAAGAATAGAGCTGGGCTTGTTCTTAGCATGCATACTATGCTGGTCTTTGACCTTACATTGGCCTGTGTTCAGAATTCCAGCGTGTGTTGACATTCACATATGGAAACCGACTTTGGTTGAATTTTATTTATTTGTGCTTTTCAGAAGAGTTAAAATGAATAGTGATTTGAAAAAAACTACACCCATGTTATTTTTGATATTTGCATCTGCCAATAGGGAGGGAGAATGTTATGCAAATAAAATTCTTAACTACTGGGGAACCTCAGCTGAGATTGTTGGTTGAAATGGTTCAGCTTTAGAAGTCTGTGGTTCTATAAAAATATTGCTTCAAGGTGGTACACTTTTATATGGTCAGAAAGGGTTTGTCCTTATTTTAATCCTATAAAATACAGTGACTATCATACTAAACTTTCTGTGTTTGCAACAAATAAACCTGTTAAAGGATAAACTCAGTATCAAGGTTCTGCAAGTATCCTAAGTAGCTATTTATACACTTCACTAATCTTTGTAATTGGCTTGTCTTTTACTGCCATTAATTAGATGATGTAGTATTCCATTAATAAGAGTGACACACCTCAGCATTTTTACCTTTAATTATAGACTTCACTAGACACTTAAGTTATTGACAAAAAATAGCCTAAAAATTGCCTGATGTACACCTATGTTTTTTTTTTTTTCAAAGCGTACGTGTGCATTATTGAATCCCTAGCATGGCACCTGCTCTGTGCTAGGCACTACATGATCTGCCCAAAGTAGATGTGTCGACATCTATCTTTTTTGCTCTCTTTCAGCACCCTTACCCTTCTGAAGAACAGAAAAAGCAATTGGCACAAGACACAGGACTCACCATCCTTCAAGTGAACAACTGGTAAGTCATTTGGCCTCGTGTTTACACACAATCTACTTCCCCTGCTGGCAACCTGCACCTAATGTTTTGCATCACGAAGACACACCCAGTTGTTGCTGTTTTCCCTGGTGGCTTATGAATCCAAAGGGGGAAATAAATTTGACTGATAGTGAGAGCACTTGCTAGTTGGGCAAAGAAAACATTGCATTGCCTTCCACCTCCTTTATACATTGTCACATGTCTCAGTCACTGTTTCATTCATGTTCTCTATGGCTCTGTAAATATATTTCTCTCCATGGCTTTCTTTCCTGTAGGGTAATCAACAGAGTAGAATCATCTTTTTTTTCTATTAAACAAGAAAATCCACCATCATAATCAGGCAGGTTTTAAATCCACTGAATAACTAAATTCAGTTAGATTTTGTTAGGACTGAGCATTCAAGGCCAGTCTTCCTTTCCTCTTATCTCCTGTCTGTGGAAAAGGAGAAACTATTTATGTTTCTACTTCTTGAAGCTATTCAAAACCTGATGTATCTCAGAGCTGTGCAATAATGTTTCTAAATAAATGTGTGAATTCCTGATTTGGGGGGAGGCTGTGATTACCTACCAAGTACCAGCCAACAATATTCTGAGTTAATGTACAGCAGGGTGGCAACGAGGCTTTGAGAAAGAATGATTTATTACCCATTGTGAGTGTGCTGAAAGCCAGGTTCATATGATCACCCAGAGCTAGTGTCATATTTGAAGGGTATGGAAATCCAATAGCCTCTAAAACTAAGTGTATCTAATTAATTGTCCTAATATTTTTAGGTTTGTATTTATGATGGGGAAACCTTACCCTCATTGAAGTAAAATCCAGAAAGGGCCCAAAGTCTGGTAGGAGAAAGGAGAGAACTGGGAATGCCAGTTTGCAGACAGAAGTATTTCTTTCTGTTCAGTAAGTGTCAAAGATTAATATTACAGAATCTATGATTACATGGCCTAATCCATTTTGGTGAATAAATTTGTTCTTGATGTCCACTGTACCTACATTAATGGACCCTTCCCTGTTAGAGAGCCTGGGAGCCTTTGGGAAAGATTTCAGATATATTAAACCCCATTACAGAAAATGTAATTTCTGTCAATATAATCCCATGTATTCTTCAATTTAGTACTGCAGAGATAACAAGCTACTTACAATATATTTGCCTTTGGGGGATTAATTTACAAAGTGCACTATCTGCAAGACACAGACAGACTCACATAAGCAAGGCTTGTAAGGGTTATCAATTTGTATGACCTTAATGCAGCCCTGGGAGATCAATGTTCGTAGCCCTTTCAGTGAGGTGCGTTGGGAACCAGGGGGAGACAGTGCTCTAGCTACGTGGGTTACTAGGAGCTGAGCCACTGCTGAGGTCTTTTGTTTGCCTCTTTTTACCTGCTATTGTATCTTAATTTTCAAGACTATTAATACTGTGTATATGAACTTAATCTTTCAGGTTGTCCTGGACAATAATATAGGGTAAGATCACCAATTTTCTAGGCATACCTAAATTCAAATATGTTTTCAAAGTTAAACTAACGAGACAATTTTAATATAATGGAGGCTGTACCAATGTTGTATTTCCCTGGGCTGTATTCCCACTTGAGAGCCAAGGAGTGGCATCGGAGCGAGCTTTAATTAAGGCAGGCAAAGGCACTATGGTTCAGTGATGTGTCACACATGCCGTCTCTCTCCCTCCTCAGTGTTGCTAGCAAACTCCGTCCATAAACATTGCTACCAAAGAACAAATTCTAATGCAAGTTGCTGTCTACAGGTGGACAACCCTATGGGATATTTGCTGTGGGGCAGCCCTGTGACACCAAGCAGTATGCGACTGTCATTTTCCTAGGTTTTGTGCACTGCGATCACAATCCGACTTTATCAGTTTTGCAATTAGAAGGGGAAAAGAGGATCTTTAAAAAAAATTATAATACGTACCATATGATAACTTTTGATAGTGCTGCCCAGGTCCAGAATGGAGTTATGTGAGTTGTAAACACAATTCTGTTCTCACCTGACACTGTGCAATGTGCACAGGATTCTGTTGCATGTATATATGGAGTTAGAAGTGACTTCTGCTTACACTTCACTGCTTGGCTTTTGGCAACTTTTGTTAGAGCATTTACTCTAACAACTTTGTGGTAGAGAATTTCTCTCAAGGAATGAAGTTGTAGGAGAGATCCTTTCTCTTAAGTTTGATGAATAATGACAGTCCCATGTTTGGCTTGAGTTTTTAAAGGTTTACTGATTTTCATCCAAACCTTCTCCTTTAAAAGAGCTGATAATAAATTTCTTTCTCTTTAGGTTTTGAGTAGGAAACATGATGCAAAAATGGGGGAGCCCAGACATACCATATTGACACAAAAGATGTCAGAGAATCTTCAACTGTGGCATACTTGAAGGCTAAAAAAACAGCATGCCACTAAGTGGCTTCTGTTTTTGCTTTATCATAATAAAAAATTACACAAAGCTCTTTTGAGAACTCAAAAACATTTTTTCTGTACTGAGCATCAAGCCCAAGTAACTTACTTCTGGAAATAATAATTTAAAAAAAAATCTACATTAGTATTTCCCTCTTCATTTAGCCACAACATTTAAAAATGTATGCCTTCCTTCTTGCATTTCTTAAAACTTGTCAACACACATGTATGTGTTTTGTACAAAATATGAGTCATTGTTGAAGAGATCTTATAAAATGCTGAAGGGCAGGTTGGGTGTAGATCAGTCAGAATTATTGGCAGCAACATAATGTATTGAAGTACACAATATGAAAGGGAAAAAATATAAACTCTTGCCTAGTTGTTAGCTTGTTATAGAAACCGTGGCCGAGGCAGCTTTAAGTTTTGATTGCAAAATGAGATAGGAAAAGTTTCGTGTGTTGTAATGGTTCTTTCATTCCATGGCTGAACTAATTTTACACTTCTTTAATTGACATAACTGATATATACTACCGGCCTTGGCTAAAAGCAGATGGGATTTGCGGGGAGAAGAGACAACAGCGATAATTTAAATGTAAAACAAGAGGACAGATTTGATTGAGAGAAAATTTGGATTAAGAGAAATAGCTGCTGTAACTCTTACATTTGGTCTACTTATCAGAATGAAAACACAGAGGAGGAATCTTAAAATGGTTGGTATTTGGACTTAAAGGAATTGGGATCTGGGATGGAATGTGGAATTTACTAGATGAGACATCATAGGACAAGTCTCTGTCTCATAAATTTTTTGAGAATTGAGGCACTTGTGTAAATAACTCGGGTACAAATATTTTTACCCAAAATTATCTAAATATTTGAGGTAACTATGTTTTTGTAAAAAATCAACTTCTATAACTTATTTGCCAAAATACTTCAATCTAGGATGTGGTGGTAGACTTCGACTTAGAAGCATAATAAGTTTTGAAATATATGCTATAAATTGATGTATAAACTCTCTTTCTTTGTTCTCTCACTCCCAATTATGATTTGATCCAAAAATGATAAATAGTAACATTTGGGAGCTTTTGTCTTTTTATTGTTACTATTGTGGTTTTGATGAATATTTCTTTTCTACCAGCAGTGACAACATGTTATTAATGCATTGAACATTTTAGTCATGTATGCAGAAACTTCCTTAATTTTGAGATTTAGGTCCTTAAATATTTAGGTAGAACTTTACATGTACACACACAAAGTCAATACTTGGTTCTGTTGTCTCCTAAATACACAACTTCATTTTTTCACATTGAAAAAGTGCGTGTAGAATGGTCAAATAAAACCCCCCTTATGTGTTTTTGTAGCCAAGTTGCAGACCTGGGAATGCCAGGTGAGGAAACCCTATGCCTGGGATTCTGTCTTACCTGCTGGATGCCTCAGACGCGCCCTCAGCAGAGTTCCAGCCTAGGGTGTATTGAATACATTTTATACTTTCTTTGTTTACTGCTTCTCACCCAAACACTTTTTCATTAAGGCCTAAACTTAAATGATTATTCCTTTATGCTCTGAGAGGGCAGTATGGATTTGAGGTGCAAAATATATAGTGTATGTGAAATACAGTAAGTATGTGGGCAGAAAAATCACACTCTGTCAATGGGGTGCATAAAATTCCAGGAGCATCCTGACATCCGAGGTGACACTTCATAGAACTAACGCAGCTGTGCAGTTCTCCAATTTAGTACACATAGCAGATTTTCCTAGTTACTTCATTTATTACATTCAAACCTACAAAGCAGTCAGGCATCACTTCCCATTTATTACTAGTGGAGAAAAAAGGTATGTTATCCTCAGAGATTTATGCTACTGGCAGGTTAAAATGTAAACTTACTTTTTAAAAATAGGATCACCCTTATTATAATAAACAGATTCAACTGGTAAAGGTCAGGTTTCTTTCTGAGTTATGGTAATAACATAGCAAATACTTTTATAAGTAATCAAAGATTCTATAAATATAGGTACCTGCATAGATGTAAATGTTAAAACATTCACAAATTATCCTTTCAACTTCTGTGATCAAAAAATCAATGGGGGTCAAAGGGTTTCATAGAATTGCTCTGCTTTTTCTTCCAACATAATTTAATAATACATTTTACAGATGTTGTTTAAACATTAGGCACAGATTGTTTTGTCAATAAAGCTAAACAGAGGCATGACACAAAAGCAAGGAAAACAGATGTAAAGAAAAAAAAACAGGGCACCATGCAAGAAAGCACTGGGTCATTTGTTTGCTATTCAACTACAAAATGAAAAGTGCAGGTTGTATAGTGATTTTCTTCCCCAGGAACCACCTAGGGATGGAACAACTTTACACACAAAAGGTAATTTTATGAAGCAGGTGATTTAACTTTTTCTCTTGAGAATTTCAGTGTAACCTACATTTAAGGGAGACTTCCTCACTGATCAATAGAGTAACAGGTACAGTGTTTTAAAGAAGAAGCAGGAGAAATATAGAGTAGCTCTCCAGCGTGCTTCAGAATGGGTTGTTGTTCTTCAAGCCACAGTTAATTGCTATGCTTTTCACCTGGA